ACCAGAAAAAGTACTTCAAGGTCCCCTTTGTGATCTTTCCCAGCACAGGAACTGGTGAGTTAGTGTCCTTCCCTGCAGCTTTGCTAGAGATTCCCAGCCGGCCCCAGAAGCAGTTCTGCGGCCCCTCGCCTGCAGCTGTTTACACTGGGCATTCCTCTGCCTTTGGGATAGATGGACAGCTGGACAGAGGGGGGGTCTCCAAATGGGGGCCTGGCATTTGCTGCCAGGGCCAGGATGGCAAGAGAAAGCAAAGGCGTTTGGCACAGAGTGTGTGTGCGAGAGAGAGAGAGAGACCGAAGGATGGCTCGGAGGGGTTTCTCCCTTCCCTATTTTCCACAGGCCCTCGATTTACATCTCCGCAGAGACATAAGCCAGAAACGCCATCTGCGACCTTTTGCTCTCCCTTGGGGTGCAAAGACTATTTGGAGAGGATTTAACTCTTCCTTCCCTGCCTAGCAGCTGCAGAGGCCCGTTACTCTCAGCCAGACAGGGGCTGCTAGCTTTGGTGCACCCCAGCGAAGTTTTAATGCCACAATTGTGCTCCCTCCTTTGATCCTTTCTTTAAAACAGGAAGTCCAGAAAACATGTTCCAACTTCCAGGACCCTCCGGCTTGCTGGATTTCTGGAGGGAAAGATGGAGTCCCAGCTGAAAGGCTTGGTGGTTTGCGTTTAGAGGCACCGATGAAAGCCGGGGTGTCCTTTTTTTAGCTTTTGTGAACCCAAGGTTGAGGCATGCCGAGAGCCGTGCTCCAAACAGTAACGGGTGGGCAGAACAATAACTAAATACATTCCATTTACATTCCATTCCATCCTATTCCATTTCCTTATTATAGTGCGCATAGCAAAATGGTTACGCGCCACCAGCAGAGAACAAGTGCCCCACAAAGAAATAGTGACTGGGAAGAGTTCATTAAGTGACTCCAATGAGCTAGCCAAGCTGTATTTTGTAGGGCCTGGCCAACTTAAGGATACTCAACTTGGCCCTTCGTATCCTGCAGACTTTTGGAGAGTCCGTTAGATTTTTAACCAAGGATACTAGAGAGACTAAAACTTCTATCTGCAAAACGTGTGTAACTGAGAGCTGATATGATGTAATTGTGAATGGGGCTTAGGGACTTGAGTCCAGATCTCCATTCAGACATGGAACCAAGCGGTCTGAGGCCAATCATTTCTCCCATTTAGTCTCTAGCCCAGTGATTCTCTACCTTGGCAACTTCCAGGTATGTGGACTTCAGCTCCCAGAATTCTCATCAGTAGCCATGCTGGCTGTGGAATTCTGAGATTTGTACCCCACACACTTGGGAATGGCCAAGGTTGAGAAAGACTGCTCTAGCAGCTCCCCTCAGACATTGGCCAGGAGATAAGAGGCTTGGTTCAGACATTGCGCTAAGCTCTAATTAGCTTATCTATGATTCTTTGAATAAACCACCGTGGCTGGATTTGCACAGATTGCCAAGCAACAAAAGTAGGGCTCTGTACAATGTTGAGCCCAGCCATGTGGGTGTTAGTTCTGACAGTTGGCAAGGGTCAACCACAGCTCTCCTCGACCAAGCACCCTCCAGAGAAGTAGGACTTCAACTTCCAGAATCCCTTCTGACATAATAACTCTACTACTTTGGGGCGTTGAGACCCCACACACTCAACATACCAGGCTGGGGAAAGATTTGTTTGCTATAGCCCAGCCTTGTCTTAGGTTATTATGGACAATCAAAATTCCATAGAAATGGACAAGCAGACCAGGGGCAGATCCAAGTCAGTTCCTCTCCTCTCTAAGGCCAGTCTACTGTGTTCCTGGACTTCTTGTTGTTCAGTCGTTAAGTCGTGTCCGACTCTTTGTGACCCCATGAACCCCATCGCGCCAGGCCTTCCTGTCCTTCGCTGCCTCCCTGAGTTTGCTCAGTTTCATGCTCA